GGACGGCTCGGTGCCACCAGGTGGGTGGCCCGGCAGCGCGTCCCGGGCGGCGCGCGCGGACGGGGGACGCTTGACTCCCGTCCTGGCCCCGCTCCCAGGGACCCGGAGCTCGACGGCCGGGCGGGGTGCAGGGAATGGTCCCCGCGACCGAGAGGGAGTTTAGGCACAGCGCGGACGAGGGACTGGGAGAGAGGGAAGACGCCGCGGGTGGGCGCCGTCGTCGCGCGCAGTGGGCAGGGGGCGCTGTCGGGCTGGACAGTGGGAGACGGTGGCGCACAGCTGCTCGGGCGCCGCGGAGGAGAGGGGTCGTCTGTCTCCCCGACCCTCTTTTAACAGCCCTAGCCACGTGCCCGCAGGGACCCAGCCGTCCAGTGGACGCCGTCGGTGGCGCGTTAACTTTGGGCTGGAACATCCCCCCCTTCCCAGAAATTAGTCCTCAGGGTTCGAGGCAGGGTAGGGGGATTCTTGCAGCCCTCCCCAGAGGTCCGTGGGCCTCCGCGGTCAAGTTTCTCTTTCAGTTTTTAGCTGTCCCCCCTCCCTCCCTCTGGGGAAGCCCCGGTGGGGCGAGGGGAGAGGAAGAGGGGGAGGGCACCTGACTTTCAAGAGCCCCTCCCCAAGCCTCTGCGGGTTCCTTGTTGGAGGGCAGGGCGGCCTTCCCCGCCTCACCATCTCTCTTCCCGCACAGGAAAGCGTGTCTGTGGGAGGGAGGGGCCTGGCCTGACCGACCGCGGTCCAGGCAGGGGTGGGCATGGCAGGGCCGGGGGCAGGCCCAGCCCGCGCCCGCGCCGAGGAGGCGCCCCCTGAGCCGCCTGCTCGCCCTAGGTGACCAGACATGGCAGGCTGGATCCAGGCCCAGCAGCTGCAGGGAGATGCGCTGCGCCAGATGCAGGTGCTGTACGGGCAGCACTTCCCCATTGAGGTCCGGCACTACCTAGCGCAGTGGATCGAGAGCCAGCCCTGGTAGGTGGCCCCGCTTCCCCCGCGGCCCCGCCAGGCCCCTCGGCCGGAGGTCCCTCCCTTGTGGCCTGGTCTGATTATGGTCCCGTCGGTTCCTTTCTGTGAGGAAGGGGCCGTGTTCCTGGGAAAGGGGAACAGGGAGGGAACCAGGAGCCTGGGGAGGGAGAGGGGATGTTTCTAGACTTGTCCTGCCAGGAACAAGTCTTGTGGGCTCCCGAGCACTCTTAGGAGCCTGGGATTTCCACATCCCTCTTGGTGCCTCACTTCCTTGCCAAGGGGGCACCACAGTAGGCTTCTTTCTCCTGCCCTGCCCCCAGGGATGCCATTGATCCAGAAAATCCCCAGGACCAAGCCCAGGCCACCCAGCTCCTGGAGGGCCTGGTGCAGGAGCTGCAGAAGAAGGCGGAGCACCAAGTGGGGGAAGATGGGTTCTTACTGAAGATCAAGCTGGGGCACTATGCCACGCAGCTCCAGGTGGGTGTGGGCTCCGGGTCATCTGCAAGGAAGCAGTGTCGCCTTCTCTTTCCAGCATCAGAACCCCTGGGTTTTTCCTGGCCTGGACACTGACTCACTCTGTGACCCTGACCTTATCGGCAACTTTTCTGTGCTTCAATTTCCCCCACCCCCTCTTTCTAAATCAGACCTGTTGGATTCCTTTGGCATATTACAAAGCAAGGGGTGGGGTGTGCTTGTCCCCAAGAGAAAGAAGATGTGAAACGACATTCTGGACGGATCAGGCAGTAGGGATGGCGATAAATTGAGTCAAGATTCCTTTATTGGAGAAAGGAAGACTGACAGGTTCTAGAAATGAGGGAGTGAGGCAACCAGACATCCCTCTTGGGGCTCGTTTAAAGGTGGGAGAGCTCTTGAAGTGGGGCAGGAGAAGAGCAGAGTTAAAACTCTGGATAAAAGAGCCTTGAATTAGGGTTTAGATGTAAGATGTAGCTTCTCCTTCATTTGAGGGAGGAGGGGAGGGAGTACAGGGGAGAGAGGAAGTTTTTTGTGGAAGCAGGAAAGGAGTGTGGCTGGTAATCATAGTCAAGCATTTATTGGAACTCACTAGTATTTCTTAGAGAACTGCTCTTAAATATAAGCAGCAGGTGCCAGGGAAATAAAAAGTCCAGGAGAGGGAGGAAGCAGGAGAAGCCTCTGGGGTAGAGAGGGAAGCATAGGAACCCAGAGCTGCAGGATGGTGGAAAGTGCCGTGACCTTGGCATTAGGTGCTCTGAGCCTTGAGTCATCTGCTCACTTGTTTCTCTCTGGATAAGTCCTTAACCTCTTTAAGCATCAGGTTTCTCATCTTTGAATTAGGGATAATCATTTTTGCTATATCATAGGGTTTCTATGATGTGAAAGTCATAGGAGATGGTTGATTGGAAGTGCTTCGTAAACTGTGGGTTTCTAATGCACTGCAAACCAAGTGAAGATCTGGGAGGGGAAATCAGATGAAGGAGACAGAGGTGTCTGGTGACAGTTCCTGAGTCTTCCTGGGGAAAGCTGAGACAAGGCCTGGAGGAGAGGAAGGTGGCGGGCATGGCACTGCAGCAGGCATGGTGGATGTGGGGGATGGCCAATGGTGGCTGCTTTTGGATTCTTTCAGAACACGTATGACCGCTGCCCCATGGAGCTGGTCCGCTGCATCCGGCACATTCTGTACAATGAACAGAGGCTGGTCCGAGAAGCTAACAATGTGAGTGTCCCGTGGGTATGGGGAGAGGAGTTGGGAAGTCCTTTCTCTCCAGACACAACTGTGATTTATAAATACTGGCAGGAGAGGGCACCAGTGAAATAAGAGACATGAGCAAGAGGGAGGGGCAATATTATTTGCAGATATAGAGTGACCCCCTGGCTTCAGTCCCTGGCTCTACCACTTACTAGCTGTGCAGTTTGAGCAAGCTGCTTAACTTCTCTGAGCCTATGCTTCTTCAATTATAAGTAGGGATAGTAAGAGTACCTACCTTGCAGGATTATTGTCAGCATTAAATGAGATACTGTGTCAGCCAGGGATAGACAAACAGACCAATGAAACAGAAGAGGAAGCCCTAAACACACACCTACACACACACCTGGAAACTCTATGTCAGAAATGGCATTACATATCACCAGGGAAAAGATTTGTCATTCAATAAATGGGGCTGGGGCCAAATAAGAAATATTCTCTGGTGTGGTTTGTGAGGAGAAATGGAACCAAGGTCTGTGTCAGAAAAACAAATACAAGCAAGCTTAGAGAAGCGAGGCACAAAGAGATGGAACAGGGGCTCATCCCCCAAGTTCTGGAATCGTAAAAGCGTTGAACCAAGGCTTGGACAGTGGTACAAATGTTATTCTACCTGCAATAAAGCAAAATGAGTTTCCTAAAATGATATCACACAGGTAAAGACCACAGAATAGTGCCTGGAGCACAGGTCATATTTATTATTTATTTGTTATTGTGAACACTGATTTCAGGAATTTGGCAGTTCACTCAGTAAGCATTTATTGAGGTCCTGTGGTGTGTCTGACCTGGTCCCCACCTGAAAGGAATTCAGGTGATGATAGATTCTCTAGCAGTGAACTGAGTGTTAAGGGGGGCATATGTGGGAAAAGTACCCAGCTCAAATTGGGGCAGGCTGGCAGGAGAGGTCTGAACTACAGTGGAGAAAGCAGGAGGGAGGAGTTTTTAGTCAAAAGTAGCAGCAGTACTTGTGAAGGCAGGAAGGCAGGAGCCATCCCATCACATTGGAAGACTTGCAAGTAGTCAGTGCAACTGGGGAGAAGGGAGCCAAGTGAGGAGTCGCGATAGGTAAAGCCAGAGAAGAAGCAGGGGTCAGGTCACAGAGGGTCTTCCAGTATAACCCTTGTGTCCCTTGACTTGTTGCAGTCACAGAGCTATCTGTAAATGTACAAGTGAATTTGGCTCCAACTAAGAAATACATGTCTATGATGCAGGTGTTGTCATGGTTGGGGGGGAAGGTGGGAATCATTCCTTCTCCCAGCCATCAAGCTGTTCTTGGACACCTCTGATGTTCTAGGCCTTGGGGATTTTGTGGTGCACAAGACAGACGAGGTCCTAGCACTTAGAAGGCTCACATCCTAGTGCAGGGAGACAGACAAGAAAGAAGTAAACCCAAGAACTAGGCACTCTCAGATAAGGGCTGTGCTGTTTTAAATGGGCCCTTCAGAGAAGGGCACTCTGAAAAGGTGCCAATTGAAGTGCCAGCCTCAGGAAGATTTGGGGCCAGAATGTTCCAGAGTGATGGAACAAAAAGTGCAAAGGCCCTGAGGCAGGAATGTGCTGTGTGTTCAAGGAACAGAAAGTAGCTGTTGTGCTTGGGTAGCAGGGGAGCTGGGGGAGGAGGGGGAGGCAGAAGCTATCAGCTAAAACAGTGGAGGCTGTGGGAAGGAGTTTGGAGTTTATTCTGAGAACAGTTCACTGGAAAGGCCCTGGAGACTTGGTTGAGAAAAAGATCAGACCAGGTTGCTCACATGTCCGGATCCGCAAAGCCCTTGTTGATGCCTCCGCTGGAACCTCACTTTGGGGTCTCCAGGATGCCGCCTGCAAGAGGTTCTCCTTATTCCCTCTTCCCTTATCACAAGAAGGCCTTGAATAGAACAAAGACAATGTGTATTCGCCTAGCCTGTTCCCCACTCTGTCCCCAATACCCAGCACAGCCCATGGCATTGGGTCAGTGAAAGAATGTGGAATGAGGGGTCATCATCATCACTAGGAAAACACAGGTAACTCCTGGGATGTGCTGAGTTCTGGTCTCTTCAAAGAGAATTTAGATGGACCGTGTTTGGGATACTCTGGAGGGGGCGAGAACTGCAGTAGAAGTTCCTACTATGTTTTGTGAAGATGCCATAGTCTGCAGGCTCACAAGCTTCTCCTCCTCCTTTGTCCCCTCCACCCCAATTCTGACAAATGACTACCCTTCTGACTCAAATTGCCCTTCCTTCTTACTCTAGATTCAGAGTTTGAGGTCTGTGGCATTGACATTCCCCAAGGCCTGAGGTTTCCTCCCATCCTCACTGCCCAGCTCACTGCTGCTTGCACTTATATGTCCCAGGGCACCTCTCCTGCTGGGATCCTGGTTGACGCCATGTCCCAGAAACATCTTCAGATCAACCAGACATTTGAGGAGCTGCGACTGGTCACGCAGGACACTGAGAATGAACTAAAGAAGCTGCAGCAGACTCAAGAGTATTTCATCATCCAGTATCAAGAGAGCCTGAGGATCCAGGGTGAGGCTGCTGCAGGGTGGGCGGTGTGTGTGGTGAGGACGGGAGTGAGGCCCACTTTGTGAGCTCCTGCAGGGCTGGGGCTTGGTCGGTGTCTATTTCCAGGGAACCTTCCCTCTGGGTGGGCGCAGTGGCTCTGGGTGGTGGAGCCCCTGCTGTGGGCCAGGCTCTGGGCTAAGACATTTGCATGCATGAATCAATTCAACCTTTACAACAGTTCCAGGATGTAGGTAGTTGTACTATCCCTATTTTGCAGATGGTAAAACTGAGGTTCAAAGAGAACAAGTAACTTGGCCCACGTTGCTTGTAAGTTACAGAGGCGTGTCATAAAAATCCCTGTGCTTTATTAACCAATATTGTCTCCTTAATTGTGGACATTGAGTGACTATCTTTTTTTTTTTTTTTTTTTAAATATATCTTTATTGATTTCAGAGAGAGGAAAGGAGAGGGAGAGAGGGAGATAGAAACATCAATGATGAGAGAGTCACTGATCAGCTGCAGCCCACAACCCGGGCATGTGCCCTGACCGGGAATCGAACCCCGATCGCCTGGATCCTAGGTCGACCCGACACTCAACCACTGAGCCACGCCCGGCCAGGCTTGAGTGACTATCTTAATGAACCAATGTAGGCAAAGTGGTCCCCAAGGAGAGGGAGTTCCTGGAGTGAACCAGCCTGGGGAGGGGTGGAACTTCAGGAGTGCCCCTTCTTTAGCATCCATTATAGAAGCTGGAGCTGGAAGGAGGAGGCGACAGTGGACAATTCTCCTGTCCCTTAGGTCTATAGTTTGCCAATGATTGCCATGATAAGAGTGTGGGGAAAGGAAAATAAACTCAAGGGAGTTAACACCAGGTACAGTGTGAGGAGCACTGAACATGGCCCGCCTTCTCCCGCGCCAGACGGCCCGCGGCGCTGTGCCAGCCCATCCTAGTGACAACTGGAAGTGTCCCACTGCCTTTTCCTTTGCTCTCCTTTTTCTGGCCTCTTCAGGTAGAACCTTCGGTCACTGACTTTAGACCTTTCTTCTTTCCTAACGTACATACTCAGAGCCATAAACTTCCTGCTAAGCAATGTTTTAGCTGCATCTCATGATTTTGGATATGCTGTATCTTCATTACCATTCATTCTGAAGTATTTTCTAATTTCTCTGCTGATTCTTTTACCCCTGCATTTAGGAGTGGACTGTTTAAGTTCCAAGTATTTGGGTTTTTTCTAGATGTCATATCGTTATTGATTTCATTATTGAATTCCATTGTTGTCAGAGAACATATTCTTTTAAATGTATTGAGACTTATAGCTCAGCATATGCTCAGTCTTGGTAAGTGTATCTGGGAGACTTGAAAAGAATGTATTTTCTACAGTGTTTCATGAAAAAGCATCAATAATAAATTAAATAATGTTAACAAATATAATACTTATTTCTGAAAAAATATTTAAATATATGACTAATATATTTAAATGTATGTTATAAATATTTATATAATAGTATATATATTATGCATGTTGTATATAACTATATTTATACATCATATATTTATATATTACATAAACATACTATAAATACTTAAATATATGTTAACTAAATACATATTTATGATGTTAACATAATAAAATTTTACCAAAAAAAGTAAAAACAAAAAACAAAAAAAATCTATATTTCCCAAAACAAAACTTAGTGACTAGAGTGGCATTGCTTTACATTTCTATGAATCTCTTTAATTTAGGGTGAATAAGAGAGAGCTGGATCTTGTTTTCAATCTATTGTAATATCACATATCTTGCAGCCTCTAGAAAATTCCACTGTATAATTATAAGAGATTAAAAGAGAAAAAGGCAAAGCCTTAGGACTTTTGAAAACAGTTTTGGCTTTGTGGGTCTCCTATAAGAGTCTTGGGAACCCTCCAGGCATCCCCGGTCCACACTTAGAGAACCACTGATCTGTGTCTTTATTTATTTTTTTGCCTTCCTGTTCTATCAGATGCTGAGAGGTATCAAAATCTCCTATTACACTGTAGAATTGTGTACTTCTCCAATTACTTCTGTAAATACTTCCTTTATGTATTCTGAAGCTTTGTTAGTAGATTCATATACAATTATGATCATTGTCTTTCTGATTGATTGATACTTTAATAATTATGAAATATCTTTCTCGATCTCTGGTAATGCTCATTGTCTTGAAGTCTACTTTGTCAGATATTAATGTAACTTCTCAAGCCTTCTTGTTCTGTATTGGCACAACATATCTTTATCCATGCTTTTTTAAATTTAAAATGTGGACAGCATAGACTTGTCTTGCTTTTGTATTTATTCTGACAATCTTTCCTTTTAATCAAGGTGTTTAGTCCATTAATATTTAATGTAACATTTAGTACAGTGGTATTGAGGTCTATACTTTAGTATTTATTTTCAGTTTTGTCGCATATCAGTTTTTGTTTCTCGATTTCTCCTCTTATTATTTACTTTTTTTTAGGATTCCCTTTTAAATTACCTGTTTAAGCTTTCCTCCTAACCCTGCCCTGTCAGTGTTTTCTGTACCCTGAGGCCTGCACATTGCCTGAGTCACAGTAGGTATTGAGTAAATGTTGGTGGGATGATTCTAGCATGTCTTCCTCCCATCTGATTTTATACCAGACTGACCCCAGAGAAAGACAGCCCACTTCCCAGAGGAGGGAACAGGATATCCAAGCTATTAGTTCTACCCCAGGCCTTGGACTGGTTGACAGTACTTATGCTATTGATCTTGGGTTTTCTGTTTCCTATTTATGGGTTTGGGTTAGGATTCTGGTTTGGGTTTGTACCCATCATGCAATGTCAGATCAGCCTCATTTATCAAGTTCTCCCATCAGAAACACAGACTATTGATCTGTTTGTGCAAGGGAAGGCTCAGCTCCCTCCAGTGGAGCAGACAACTGCCCCACATCTCCTGGCATCCTTCCCAGAAACTTCTGCAGATTGCCAGGAAAATCTAACTGGGTCACTCGCATAGAGAGGCTGGACCCAGATGTTGGGGGCACCACCACCTTCCTGTGGGTGGCAGGATTCCTGAGGTGGCCATCCAGACTACTGTGCTGTGGTCCCTGCTGGACAACGCTCTTCCTGCTCAGGCCCCTGCAGTGAGATTGGAGCCATATTTCTGAATTCTCTTCTTGTTCTGGGCTCTTCCTGGCTGTCCAGAGTTGCTTTGGTCTGTCCCTGCTTGTGTGACCATGGGGCAGGGCCTAGGTCAGTGTGACATGGCCCTCAGAGGTCTGCCAGGAACTTGACCAAGACATGCTGATGCTCACATCTTCTTCACTTTCCCAAGTAAGGACACTGGTATGTTCAAAAAGGCCATTGGCAGCGCATAATTATAACAATATTTAGGATAGTGGTTCTCTTTGCGGAGTGGGTGGGGGGGGGTCAGTTTTGCAAGCTGGGGAGAGTGGACAGGTGGCTTTAACTGTGGAAATGTTTGATTTCTTAAGCTGGGTTATGAATTCACAGTGTTTTTTGTATCATTCTTTCTACCTTCCCTGTGTCTTAAGTATTTCATAACTGATTTTTTTAAAAGGGTAATGACACCCTGGCCAGTGCAGCTCAGCTGGTCGAGTGTTGTCCTGTGCACCGAGGGGTCACCTGTTTGGTTCCTGGTCAGGGCATGTGCCGGGTTGCGGGTAGGGGACGTGCAGGAGGCAGCAGATCAGTTTCTCTCTCTCATTGGAGTTTCTCTCTCTCTCTCCCCCTCTCCCTTTCTCTCTCTCAAAAATCAATAAAAACATTTTTTAAATTTATTTTTTTCCAAAAAGGGTAATGAGGCTCCCTGGCTTCCTGTCCTGGCCATTGATGAGCTTCCTAAAGCAAATGTGAAGAGGGCTGGCTGCCTCCTGTTCCTGAGAGAGTGCCACGGCTTTTGTAAGGGCCCTTGGCTGTCCCCCAGGCCACTCTTAGCTTCTCTCTTTTCTCTTCCGGTTGGTCAGCTGAGCTCACAGTGACCCAACCTGGACAAACTTGTTGGGCACCTTCCAGCACATAGAGAAACTCCTTCCCTGAGGAGGCTGCTGTGCTCCAGAGGCGGCCCAGGGCCCTGGAGCGGGGCTTCCCTGACGAGGCTGTCCTGGGAGGTCGGGGCTCAGAGCGGCTTGTCTCTGTCACCCTTCAGTCCTGTCCTGTAACCCATTAAGCAACAAGGACCTTCCAGGGGCCAGGCAGCCTCTTGAGCAGTTTCCATAGCAACCCTTTTAAATCCCCACAGCAGCCTGCTGAGCAGGGAACAGGATTCTCCCATTTTGCACAGGGGCAGACTGAGGCACAGGAGAGTGAAGTGATTTGCCCGAGTCCACCCAGCTGGTGAACAGCCAGGCCAGCTGCAAACTAGGCAGTGTGGCTCCAAGCTGGACCCCAGTGTGGCGTGAGGAAGGCTGGGCACCCAGCTGTGTGGGCTAGGGTGGTAGGATCCTCCTCAGCTGTGCCCACAGCTTCTGTGTCCCCAGTCTCTAGAGGGGAGCTCGGAGTTGGAGGGCCAGGGACTGAAGCTGGCTCCTCTCTGGTGCCCTTGGCTACCAGAGCCCTGACTTGCCATCGGTCAGACATGTCACCTTGAGGGTCTTGTCTGTAGGACAGGTGCGTGTGGTTTCTCTGGGTTTCCTGCTAGAAGCTGGGAGATCATGGCCATGGGTGTCCTGTCTCCTCCTCTAGCTCAGTTTGCCCAGCTGGCCCAGCTGAACCCCCAGGAGCGCCTGAGCCGGGAGACAGCCCTCCAGCAGAAGCAGGTGTCCCTGGAGGCCTGGCTGCAGCGAGAGGCCCAGACTCTGCAGCAATACCGTGTGGTGAGTGGGGTCTGCGTCCGTCTCCTCCGCGCCTGGGGTCCACATTCTGAGCTGTCGGGGGACCCGAGAGAGGGATAGAGCCAGGACGAGAGCAGGACCCAGGGAGCAGGAGGCCTGTGGGGGCCTGTGGGACAGAGCAGGTCAGGGAGGGGAGGCCCTGCCTCCTGAGGGAGGGAGGCCCTGCAGGGTCCTTGTCTGAGAGCCCAGCAAGGCTGCTCCGCCCCCTCAGGAGCTGGCCGAGAAGCACCAGAAGACCCTGCAGCTGCTGCGGAAGCAACAGACCATCATTCTGGACGATGAGCTGATCCAGTGGAAGCGCAGGCAGCAGCTGGCCGGCAATGGAGGGCCCCCTGAGGGCAACCTGGACGTGCTGCAGTCCTGGTAATGGGTGTGGGGGAGACAGGCGGGGGCAGGCAGGGC